GGTTTTTCTAAAAAAAAAAAAAAAAAAAAAAAAACATGTCTTTGGAGTCCTACGTGATCACCTAGGCTCCTAAAAACCAAGCTTTATACAACTAACCTTCCTTACCTTTCTAAAGGGCTAATTGATCTACAAGTCAGCATGATGAAACTAGTGGAGGAAAGGCTTGGTGTTTCCCTTCAACTAGATCCATTGAAACTCGCCATCTTCATCCATGGACTCATAGTTGTGGAGAAAAAAAAGACATTAGAAGGGGGATTGAATAGTATATATAAAAAAACTTACATTTTCAAATTCGTGAACTAGTATCTACAACAGATGAAAGGTTAGTAAGAATAATCAATAAAACACAATGTTTTTATATTGGTTCACCTCAACCACCGAGGCTACGTCCAAATCTTAATCCAACCAGATTGAATTCCATTAACTTTTAACAAAGTTACAAGTATTCTTTTAACAAGTCACTTTTGGCTCAAACAAATGTTCTTTCATTGGCAACTTCAAGCCAATACCCAAATTTTCTTTTACAAACAAGTCTTTCTAGACACAAACCCAAGTTAAAGCTCTATGAAAAAGACTTTTAAAACAAATCTTGTATAGAATTCTTTATAGATTACTTGTGCCAAATTTGCATAGCATAACGTTTAGAAAAGACAAAACTATTTTTGTAACTCTTATCAATTATATTTTGTAAGGGTTAAGCCTGGCCTCTTTGAGTTCAACTGAAATAGAGCTTGAGATGTGTGGCATTCCAAGTTCGTGGTATGGGTTTTCCATTGAGTTCTTCCAGTCTGTATGCTCCATTTTTCAAGTCTTCTGTGACTCGGAAGGGGCCGCCCCAAGTGGGTGCGAGTTTCCCGTCTGACGTGTCTTTTCTTGCTTCGCCCAGTAATCGCCATACTAAGTCTCCTGCTCGGAAAGCGCGAGGTTTTACTCGGGTGTTGTACCTTCGGGAAGCTCGGAGCTTGTAGGCCTCTTCGTGGATTTGGGCTTCCTCTCTGAGCTCGTCCACTAGGTCGAGGTCAGCCGCCAGTTCTTGTGCATTCTGCTCGCCATTGAAGGTTTGGCGTCTGTGGGATATTTGGCCGAATTCTATTGGGATCATTGCATTAGTTCCATAGGTCAGCCTGTAAGGTGTCTCTTGCGTGGTTGATTGGGGGGTGCAATGGTACGCCCAGAGGATGCTGGGGAGTTCCTCAGGCCATTGTCCTTTGGCGTTTCCTAGTCGCTTTTTGAGCTCCCTGAGGATGACTTTATTGGCAGCTTCAGCTTGGCCATTGGTTTGGGGGTGTTCCACCGAGGTTGAAAGGTGTTTGACTCCGAGTTCGTTGAGGAATTCTTCGAACTCTTGTGCAATGAACTGCTGCCCGTTGTCGGTAACGAGGGCATGAGGGATTCCGAAGCGGCAAATGATGTTTTTCCAAGTGAATTTCCGCACGTTCTCGGTGGTAATTTTGGCGAGTGGGCACACTTCGATCCACTTGGTGAAGTAGTCAATTGCTACGAGAAGGAATTTTAGCTGTCCCTTCGCAGGTGGGAATGGTCCAAGGATGTCCATTCCCCATTGGGAGAAGGGCCATGCTGACATCATATGGTGGAGGTTTTCGGGTGGCTGTTGGTGCTTGTTGCCGAACTGTTGGCATTCTTTGCATTTTTGGAGGTGGCTTTGGCAATCTGACTTCAAAGTGGGCCAGTAGTACCCAGCTCGGAGTACTCTAGCTGCCATTGAGCGCGCGCTAGAGTGCATACCGCATATCCCTTGGTGGATTTCCCTGATGACATAGGCTGCCTGAGATGCTGTTAGACATTTAAGTAGTGGGGAGGAGATGCCGCGCTTGAATAACTCATCGCCAATGATAACGAACTTGGCCGATCTCATCCTTACTCTCCGAGCTTCATTCTTGTCCTCGGGCAGGACCCCTTCTTTCAGGTATCTCCAGATGCTTGCCATCCAGCCCAGGTCTTCATTGTCACTGAGGCTGACGATTTTGTCGTCCAGGCTGGGGGAGTGTAAGGTATGCAGCTGCCAACATCGTCAGAAACATGGAGGCATGCAGACCCTGGAGAGGG